CGCAACTTGCAAAGGAAACGAAGTGTTGCACCTCTTATATACTCATTTGGATGTTGAAGATCGTTCCTCAACGCATTACTAAACAAATTATAACATGCATGAAAATTTCGGTCATTTACCAAAATATTGATAACCACATGACCAGTGCAATGGGCCTCGATATTTTTCAAATGATCAAGCACAAAGGGCTAAAGCATATTCTCGGAAATTGATAAATTAAATAAGCACCAACCAAACCAGAATCATTTCTTGTTTAAGCTTCCCATCAGGATTCGTTTTTGGACAGATTTCCCAGTAGAAATGAAGTAATTTTTTCAAAGTCTTATTTTTCGAAGGCATCACAAAACGAATTACGTGCATAAGAAGTTGTGGAAGTGGATCTCCATTGAGCATTGTAACCAAAATTTTTTTCATGGTATCAATTTTGGCTTCCTCTGAACCTTTCTCCAGTGCTGTCTTGAGCTCCTGAAGTGAAGGTTGATCCAAGCTGTCATCTTGATGAATGATTGTATAGCAAGTTTCAGTAGCCATTTAACAGCGCGAGTTTTAGAGAATCGAGAGAATATAGTCTTCGATGCTTCGTTATTTGATTGGATAGTAAGATTATCAATTTTTTCAGTTTTGTGTAACATTAATATACCTTATTAAAAGGGGTCGTCTAAAGCCGATCTTACCCAGGTGCGGAAAATTATTGTATTGATTTGAAAAAAATATCAATTTGATTTTTAAAAAATATTGATTTATTTTGATATAAATTTTATTTAAAATTATTATTGTAATACATCATTGTAAGCATTTTAAGCGAATTACAACTAAGATTATGTCTATCATCACATAAAATTTTGTTATAAGTTGAAAAACTTCTTTCTACACTATAGGAAGAAATTAGTAACCAGATATAATCTAGTGCGATTTGTGATAAAAGTGGAAGTTGATAAGAAATTTTTACCTAAAAATCCTCTAACTTTGTATAAGTAAATGCTTCAAGATTAATATTGCAATATATTCCCTATTCATGTAAAAGTTCTATTGATAGATTAACTAATTCAGAAATGATTTGATAAATCCTAACATCTCGATCATTAATAGAAAGTGTAATAATAAAACGTGGGTCAAATATACGAACTGCTTTGAATAAAGGTCGTGCTAAATGATTTTCAATATGCACACAATATTTAGCATATGCAGCATCATATGCTTTTGAAATATTAAGTAAAAAGAATCAGAAGAAGTATTAAGTTTTGTAAAAATATCTAATAATGGTTGTTCAAGATTATTTAATATTTTACTATTATAAAGAAAAATACCTAAATTTTCTATTTTATTTTCAACTAAAGGAAAAATAGGTACTAATTGCTGTTGAAAAACATCTAAATTTAAAACAAATCTAGATGCATAAGATTTAATAAAATTTAAATAAATTTCAATCAAACTATTATTATTTAAATCTACAAACAATGTCATAATACATTCAATAACTGGTGCAGAATAATCTTGACTTTCTTCTTGATAAAAACCACAAATTAATTTCAAATACTCTGCTACATAAAATGCCATAT